TCTCTCTGAAGTCGCTTTCCGTCTCTCTGAGGTCGCTTTCCGTCTCTTTTAGTGAACTAGAGCTCTCAGGTGCTGCTGTTGGTTCAAATGCTTCAACTAAACTTTAGTATTTATTTGTCTGACTTTTACTTTATAAGAAATCTCCAACAACAAATGTAGGCATTAAAACAAATAACAGCCGTTTGTGTTTTTTTATACATTTTCGACTGGATTTGGTTGCAGATGAAAAACCCACCATGAGGAGATCAACATTTTCTTGTCAGTTAAAAGTAAAGGAGCGGTGCCTGGTTGAACCCGGTAGTCCCTCCTGGACCGCAGAGACAAACAAAAAGAAACCCAACACACTGGCCTCAGATCTGCAGTCAGGTCTTTGAATTATTGTACTTGAAGAAAAGAGTGACGTGAAGTTCAGAGGAGAAACACTCCGGCTGGTTCCCCTCCTCCTCTTCATCTTCCTCGTCCTCTTCCTCAGTTTCAGGCATCGGAGTCGTCGCTGCTGTCGCGGCTGATCTCGATCTGCAGTGACGGCAGGCTGTCCAGCCGGCTCTTCTTGATCTTGTGGGTCAGACGCTCCTGTTTCTGTTTGATCATGGCGCCCCACATCTTCTGCAGCGTGGAGTCGTCTTCTTCCTCCTCCTTCTTCTCTTCCTCCTCTCCGTCGCCTCGTGTCTTGCTGCCGACTCCGCTGACTCCACCCTCACCTCCGTCACTCCTCCCCGAGGACGCGAAGAGACCCGACGGCCGGCTGCTCGATCTGCGCTCCTGACGACTGGAACCGCCACCGTCGTCTTCACCAGAACCGAGTCTGCTCCACAGAGCACCTGCAGGAGACACACACACAAATAAATAAAACACATAAAACACACACACAGAAATAAACGAGGGGGACGTTCCGTTTTATTCTCTGTCTGCGTTCCTACTTGTCTTCCTGTCTTTGGACGAGTTGGAGAAGACAGGTCTGTTGTCCTGACTGGCCACGCCCAGTCTGCGGTGCACGTCTCTGATTGGTTCTCTGGCGGGAGGCGTGTCTCTGGGGGAGACGGGGGAGGGGGAGCGTTGTCTGTCGGGGGAGTAGCGCCGTTTCCCCAACCGCTGACGTACGTCTGCAGACAAACAGACAGACGGACGTGTTTTATGACTCGACAAAACAAATAAATCTCATAAATATAAATAAATATATAATCTGATCAGCTGACCTGTCTTTCCACTGGGGGCCACCGGGGGGGGCTGTCTGTGCTGAGTGAGTCCTTTTCTTTTCTCCTCGAGCAGCTGCCGGACGTCGGTCACTTTGGGGGGCGACGTGGACTTGGCTCTGGTCTGAGATCCAGACTCCCCGACCCGGTTCCTGCTCACAAGACCAAAGAGTTCCAACGGGAATGAGGAAAATTAATTATTTTAAGGCAAAAACTTTTAAAATAACTTTTAAATACAACAAAATGAAATGTAATACTTGTTTTCCGTGATCCTGGTCAAAATGTGAAAGTACGATGAGAAGCAGTAGGGCCGATTTGCTCTACAATTATTATTATAATATATTATTTTTATAAAAAGCTTATTTATAATATAAAACTCTAAAACAAACAATCTTAATAAATAAACTCTGTCTTATTGTGAAGGGCGGCGGCTCTGACCGGATGCTCTTCAGGTGTCCGTCCAGCTCGTCGGCGTACATCGTCATCTTCTTGCTCTTCTTGGGCGACGGCGTGGAGATCATCTTCAGCTCCAGATCGTAGTCCATCTCGTCCGACTCCGACCACGGAGACGGTGAGCGCTCGGCCCGGCCGCGGAGCCCCGCCCCCCCCCACTGGCCGGGAGCCCCCGGGGGCTCGTTCGCCTTGCTCCTTCTCCGCCCGCTCTTTGTACTCCACCACCCGGTCGTCCTCCTCCATCTCCTCCATGTCCTCGTCGATATCGTCCTCCTCCTCCTCCTCCTCCTTGATGGGCTCCTCGGGCAGGTTGACCAGGTCGGCTGGAGAGAAGAAGAAGAAGAAGATCTTCATCAACTAAAAGATCAAAGTCTTCACAGTCACATCAACAGCTGACAAGAAGTAAAAGATTTAAATAATAACCTACATTATCATTACGTTCTTGAACGACTGTTTGCGTTTCTAAACTTTGGCTTTGATATTATATTATCATAATTATTATATTTATCATAATTATTGTATTTATCATAAACGTTTCGATAGTTTTACTGAATGCAAATATAAATCTCCAGAGAGCAGCTTGTTTAATTAAACTCTTTATTTTAGTTCAAAAATATATAACTTTTGTTTGTTTGGCATCTTTAACAACCCCCCCCCCCCCCCCATCAAAAAGTGTCGTACTTCCTATTTTCCAAAGTTAGTCTTAGTCTAGTCTAGATGATAAACGGTTGTTACCAGAGTGTCGGTGAGTGTACGGCGGCGTGTGTCCCATGTTGTCTCCAATCAGAGGCTTCTTGGTCTTGATGACGTCTCTCTGGATCCTCCGGGTGTGAAACCTCCTCTTCCTGAAGACACGGACCACTTTAAGTTACTTTACTTAAATATACATCATGCTACACATCCTCAAAATAAAAACTGACATGTAAGAAAGTGGTTTTATCAGAGAGAAGGACACAACCAAGCAACAACTAAACCTTTAAATAACCAGATGAGTTAGTCTCACCAGGAGTTGCTGAGGATCCCCTTCATGCCTCCATAGTTTGGGTTTCCGTACTTCATGTAGTATCTACTGCGACGAGCAGCACCCAGCTCCTTCTTATCATCTGGAGACAATAACACGTGGAACGTATCTTCATTTTAACTTAAACCTGCTGTAGACCTGGTTTAACTGAGGGTTAACTTAAACCTGCTGTAGACCTGGTTTAACTGAGGGTTAACTTAAACCTGCTGTAGACCTGGTTTAACTGAGGGTTAAATAAAACCTGCTGTAGACCTGGTTTAACTGAGGCTAAACTTAAACTCACCATGTGTGGCGAAACGCAGGAGGAGTTTGTTTCCTTTGAAGGGTTTGATGGCCGGTCGCAGGTCGTTCCTCAGCAGAGACTCTCTCTCTGCCAGCGACAGGTCCTCCACCTGAGGCACAGACAGGTTCACGTCATCCATCACTTATTGGCAGTAATCAATAACCGGATCAGTTTGAGGTATTTGAGTAAACTCTACCTGAACGGCCTCCGGCTTGGTTTTCGGCTCGTCTGCATCTTTCACCTCGATCTCCTCGCTGCTCTTCTTCACAGCTTCCTCTTCGTCCTCCTCCACCTCGCCCTCTTCCTCCTCCTCATCATCTGACCCTTGACCTTCACAACCTACCAGGTAAAAAAATAAAAAATATGCTTCAGTTCTCCGCACCTTTGAGAGTATTTATGTACACAGACTGACCTCTGAGAGTCAGTTAAAGAGTATTTATGTACACAGACTGACCTCTGAGAGTCAGTTAAAGAGTATTTATGTACACAGACTGACCTTTGCTCTGTTTGGCCGGTTGGTCGGAGCTCTCCGTCTCCGTGGTAACCTCCTCCGGGTCGGTCATCCGGCTGCTGTTGACGAGAGCTCTGATGGACGTGTTGTCATCGAGCCAAACCACGTTACCTAGGAAACAATCAGACAGACCGGTCCTCACTGATCTCTGGAGTACTTTTACAGTAGTAAACTCAATACTTCCTCCACCAGTGAGTGTGGCTGTATGTGTGTGTGTGTGTGTGTGTGTGTGTGTGTGTTACACTCACAGGACATGTCATCGATCCACTCGATGTGTGATGGAGGATATTCTTTAAAATATCCGAAGATGTCCTGAGTACTCATGTCGTCAACTCCCGTCACGTAGATGGCCTCCATACGCAGGCTGGGGATAGCTGAGCACCACAGAAGAAGAAGACGACGACGAGTACAGGTCATGAGCGCCACAGAAGAAAAAGACAAGTACAGGTCATGAGCACCACAGAACAGAAGAAGAACACGTGTACAGTCATGAGCACCACAGAAGAAGAACATATGTACAGTCAATAGAATAGTGTGAGCCACCTGTCTGTGGTCACGTGACGTGTCTCACCTTTCTTCATGGTGTCTTTATCCATGAACACGTTCCTCTGGTCGACCGTCTCTTCAGGACGGAAATGAAAACGTCTCGCTCGCTTCTCTTTCCTCTCGATCGCCTCCTGATGAAAACACAAACACACTTTTAACTCTTAAACAATCGACAAAACTACACCGTTCATAACAGCCAGAAGCTGTAAAAACCGCCATCGTCGTCAGGTTTTCATCTCTCCGATGGTCCATGAACACACCACGTGCAATGAACTCTTCAGTTAGAAAAAGCAGCCGAAACAAAGTTTAAATTTCTGATATTTCAACAACATTTTACTCTACATGTCTCGTTTAAAATCTCACTACAAATAAACCGTTAACTTTAATCAGATTCTGTTACAAAATACTTCCTCGTCAGAAATCCCACTTATAATCAACCTTCAGTCTGAATCGTTCTAACACAAGTTTTACCTTCCTTAAGTTTGTTATTGATACAGTACATTTGTTTATCATTGAATAAGGAAGACCAAACACATCTAGAGGAAGTAACATACTCAAGTATGTGGATTATATTTTCGTATTATTTTGATTTACAGAACCAGAGAAATATCAGAACACTTTCTGGTGAAGCATCAAAAACAAAATAACAAACTCCTTTGGGTTTTAGGTATTTTAATTTATGAGGAAATTCTGTATGATCTGTTTGTTACCTGGAGGACTCAGCAGGTGGATGGATGTGGATCTGAATGGCTGTGATGAACCGTAATAAAAGACGTAATGAGTAAAACTTTATTGTCCTACCTTTGAGTTGACATCAATCCCAGTGATGAACGCTCCGCCCTTGTTCTCATATCGCCGGCTCGTATCCTGCAAAAACAAAATCAAACATCACAGACGAAAGTTTAGTTTTCATCCTCACTCATCAGCCCTTCTGTTTCTGACTCAACCAAATATTAAACCTGGATGAATGTCAAAATAAAAGCAGCAAATAACCAATTTAAAGACCTCTGAGAAGAGTTGATTTAAACATGCGTTTGAGACTTTTAAGGTCTTTAAGCAGCAGAGACCCTGAAGCTACCTGACATATTGTTAAACCTGCTTCTATTCAAACAGCTGGTGTTTACATTATAATTTGAGCAAATTAAACACTAGCTAACAAACACAGGTAACAGACACCTGCAGTAAAACCTTCTACAGGTGATGTACTGTCTGTTGTGAGACAGAGGAACTACCGCTAAAGTTATAAACACCTCTCATACTGGGGATTAAAACCAGGCCGAATTGATTAGTGATTGTGCCTGTATCAGATGCATTAAACATGTTTAATTATTTTTAAAAATATGCTTTGTTTTGTCCTTAAAACATTTAATTTCCACTTTACTTCCTGGAGGCACGAGGAGGCTGCCAGCAACAAGTGAGTAAAACAACAAACAAGTGAACGGCTGCTGCTAAACACGTTTAAATATTAAGTAGCTCGTGTGAACCGTTAGTTAACCGTTAACCCGTAACGGACACGGTGCTAGAAAATTGTCCCCGGAGAGACGGAGACAGAGAGAACCGGGAGTTGGAAGTTCCCACACGACGACACTTCACGCTTGTCCCACCAGCCGCGACACAAACTCCAGTCCCCGGTCTGACAGGGGCCTCGTCCCGGACACTCACCGGCAGCAGCTCCTTCAGGGACCGGTTAACGGAGACGTCCTCCAGCTCTCCCTCCTCCACCTCCACCTCCATCGGTTCGGCGTCGCGGGCGTCTCGGTCCGACTCGGAGGAGTCCGAGTCCGATTCCGAGCGGTCCGAGCCGCCGCTGTCTGATTTCACCGCCACCATTAAGCTGCGCACTGCCGCCATGGTTTTAGCTCGTTAGCTCGTTAGCTAGCTAGCTAGCTGTTAGCCGCGAACAACGGCTGCTGCTTCGGTTTGTTTTCTTAACCCGGCAATAGTTCTGTCCTCCTGCTTCTTCTTCGGTGGTGTCAGGTGGAGGCAGAAGACGTTACATCGGAACATCAGCATCTCCTAGCGACATGTTGTGTTAATAATAATAATAATAATAATAACTATTATAATAATATTAATATATATGATAATAATTTACAAATCATAGTATGATGACTTATATACCTAAATAAAAAAATGTTTTAATACAAAAAAAATACACAAAAAGGCTTCATTTTTTATTTTATTTAAATCGAATATTTTAAAATCAGTCAAATGTATTCCAATAAAAATAAGCTTTTTTGATTTTTTTTTTCATTTCCTGCTGTGTGACTCAGTAGTTTTGTAGCAGCGGGGTGTTCAGGAGGAACTAGGAGTTTTATGAACACAGTGATTACAGCTCATACAGTGAACTACTGCACTCATCATACTCATTCACTCACACACTCATTCACACACACACACACACACACACACACACACACTGTGTGGTATTTCAGTGTCTCCCCTTATCAGCTAAACAATTTCTAATGAAGTGAAGTTCATGTTATTGTAGTGATAAACAGACCAACCAGAAGCAAGTTGGACGAACTCAAAGGCAAAACTTATGAGAAATATTTTATTGAAGTTTGTTTCCTTTAACTTTTCTCACTTTGTTTTGCAGTTTATTTTGAATTCATCAGTGAAGTAACAAACAGGAAGCTTCTTCATCAGGAATAAGAAACATTAACAAACACCACAGAAGAAGAAACAAAGTGCAAAAGTCTCGTCCTGCAGAAACTTTGTAACTTCAGAAATCATGATGCAGAACACAGAAACACATTTCATGCTTCCCTCACCCTCTCATTTTGTGCTTTCAGTGCAATCAAGACAATTAGAGTTGAGTCAAAGCTCTATATGTACAGATTTAATATTTAATATTCATATACAGCCACAGAGTTTTGTGTCGTTTTAGTGCAAAATGTTCAGCAGTTTTCTGTCAAACGGAAGTGAAGCTTCTTGTGACTTTATCTCCTTTTTTAAACTTTAAACGTCGTTGTTTCAGGTTTGACTCTCGACAAACTGCTGGAACAAGTCTCGGTGGTAAAGACGTCTTTCTATGAGACAAAGAAACAACATTTAGAATATTTAGATTCAGAGCAACATGGAGGCCGACGTTCACTAAAGACGAGCTTCATGTAGGAAGTGTTGAAGTGATTATTGCTGCGGTTCATTTAAGACTTTTAACACATTTAATACCATGAAATGTTTTATGATCATAAGAATAGAAACACGACGGAGAAGCGGTTTGACCCGTTATTTATTCTTATATCACGTTTTTCAGGATGATATAATAATTGAATTAACGCGTCCTGAAGCTTTTATCTCTTTATCTCTTTACATCTTTTTATTCTCACTGTGAATCTTTCTGCAGAGCTCCTCAACAGTTTCATTATATTTATTTATGTTTAAATAGCATTTAAACAATATTTTTGTTGTGATTTTTTTCTTATTAATTTGCTTCTTGTCTATGAAGAAACTGTTGTGATAAGCAGCAGATGGATTCATCGATTAAAGTTAAAATTATAATTATTATTAAAGTTTTCGGCTTACAGCAGCCGAGATACAAGATTTAACACTTTTCACGTCTTCATCTTTAAAGGTGCTTTTTGTTTCTGAAGTTTAATTAAAATATGTTTCTGCAGCTAATAAATAAATATGAATTGAGTTTGAAACAGATTTCACTTCATTTGTAGTCTGAAAATAAAACGGTGAAGAAAGCAGCTGGAATCATAACTTCTCTTTTTATGAACTTTAATCTACTTTGTATCTGCTGACAAGGCAAAACGAGCCTCAAAACATATTAGATTCATTAAATCATTAAATATTAATCATTATATCATTAAATATTAAATCATTAAATATTGAATAATTAAATCATTAAATATTGAATAATTAAATCATTAAATATTGAATAATTATATAATTAAATCATTAAATAGGAATTATTAAATATTAAATCATTAAACATGAGGCTACATAAGTCTTCAGTGAACGTCATTCTTGCGTTGTGCTCAGAGTCTCTGATCGATATGACATCATCAGTATTTAACATTCAGACACACGTTTCTCAGCTCCACACCACATACTAGTACTACACAGCATGTGTACTTATTGTCATACTGTTGTACTTGTTGTTATAGTGTACTGTAGGTAGTACACCACCAGTTACAAAGAGAAAATCTCATGTTTTTCTTTGTTTGTTGAAAAGTCCACTCAGAAATCAGAAGACTTCATTCTGTAAACTGACGGATCAATAAAAGTACTAATACCACAAAGTAACAAATACTCCATTAGAAGTAATCGTCCTGCATTTTAAATCAAACTTAAGTTAAAGTACAAAAGTATTCTAAAAGTACTTTACTTACTTTGAGTAACTTCTGTAGTTCCTCGATCTTTTCCTGGAAGTTTATTTTGAAAATACTGTTTTCTTGTAACGACATAAAATGAGAATTATTGTTATGTTATTATGAAGATATGATACGAACTGTAGTATGAGGGTACAATGAGCAGAATGTTACTGTTGTAGCTGCTCCAGGTGAAGATACTTTAGTCCAGAGGGGCCCAACATAGGGGTCGGGCCCCTCCAGAGGCCACCAGATACGTCTGAGGGGTCGCGAGATGATTAATGGGAGAGAAGAAGAAGAAGAAAGTTCTGATACATATTGACTCTTTGGGCCTTGAAGTATTAGTACTTTTGAAAAGTACTTGTGTAAATGTACTTTGTTACTTTGAACAGCATCAGTGTGAAGTCTGGAACTGAGATGCAGTCTGAGAGTCACGTTGATTCACTTAAATCAGGACTTTGTTCTGTAAACGGAACACGTGTGTGACGTCACACGTGTTCCGTTGCACGAGTGATGAAATATAAAAGAAAACACACACACACACACACACACACACACACACACACACAATCAGATCCTCTGCAGTGGATCTAAAGAGCAGCTGGTTTAACGTCTCGGTGCAGTGATGTAGAGGTGTACTGTGGTACCCCGTGACATCACATCCTGATGAGGAAAGATTTAAGATGAAGGTGTGACGCTGTGCTCGGTGGTGGGAAGCCATTGAGGGATCCAAACTGGGACAAAACAACAAAAGAAATGTGCGTCCCTTTAAGACAGAGCACATTCAAATAATTATAAATTATGAATTATTACGTCTGAACTTTTTATGGACTTGTGAGGGAATAAAACACTTTATATTCCATGTATTATTTATTCAAAGATTTAATTATTGCTCCTCCTTTTACTGACTGGAAACATAGAGACGTCCTGACTTTTATTTTCTAGTTACGGGTCAAACTCCAGAAACACTGGGTCCTACATTTCCCATAATGCAACTGTTCATTAGAGCCTCTCTGCCTGATGAACAAAGTACATGTATTAATAAAAAGACTCTTTTTAAAGTTAAAATGTTGTCATGTTGAAGATCCGACTGCCTCTTTGATTCTGTGTTCATCACAATAACCAACAAACTACAATGAATGAATAAATGAAGCGCTTTAGTTTTGTGATCGTTGTTGAAGGACCGGAGCCAATCTACTGATGATGTCACTATGACGTCATAGTGACATCATGTGAGGCGACATCATCGGGAAGACGTGTGAATGAGATCTCTGTGTTTGGTTCTGGCTTCAGACGTCTGACATTACCTCCACGGAAGTTTAATAATGAACACAAATAAAATAAATAAAAATAAAGATTTCAAAAAGAAATAAAAATGACAACAATAATTATAAAAAATATATATATTATTATTACTATTATTATTATTACTGCTACTAATAATAATAAGAGTGAATTTTTCTCCTCCAGGGACACAGAAGAAGACTAAACACGACCAGCAAACTCATTTTCACGAGTAAAGTTGATGTAGTGACCCTTTAAATGACGTGTGTGTCAGAGTGAGTGTGTGTGTGTGTGTGCGTGAGTGTGTGTGTTGACATGCACAGTCCTGCAGGTCTGATTCCCTCTGAGCAGAAAGATGCAGCTGCAGCAGCGAAGGACGAATGTGTTGAAGTGTTTTCCCTTTTTATCCTCAGTGAGTGTGACAGTCTTCATCATTAACATCTTCCTCCTCCTCTTCTACTCCTCCTCTTCCTCCTTCTCCTCCTCCTCCTCTTCCTCCTCCTCCTCCGTGACGTTGGACTGAACCTCCTCGTTGTTATTCTGCAAAATAAAAATCGAAAAAAATAAAAAAGATTAAGAAGTAAATCAAAGTTCAAACAACAACAAAACCTTTTTTCTTCAGCTCTCAGTTTCCTTCTTTATTTTTTAAATAGTGCTTTAACTTAAGTAGCGACTGAGTACTTCCTCCATCATTTAAAGGTAGTATTTAAACATGGAGACTCACCTTCTTCTGCTGGTTAGTTCTGCAGACAGAAAACAGAAAACTTGTATGAGAAGAGAAGTGAAACATGAAGATAAATAAGAATCTGAACGGCACAGAAACACTTTGCCTGAGCCACCTCTTCTTCTTCTGCAGCTCTTTAATGGCAGCGACCAAAGAGTCTTAAAGCTGCATTCTCTCTAGTGTCCAGCAGGGGGCGACTCCTCTGGTTGTATAGAAGTCTATGAGAAAATAACTCTACTTCTCTCTTGATTTATTACCTCAGTAAACATTGTAAACATGAGTTTATGGTCTCAATCTCTAGTTTCAAGTCTTCTTCAGTACAGCATGATGTTCATTTAGTACATTATGGTCCATTTAGAGTCACACAGACCATAAAGCAGGGGATGCTTTAGGGCGGGGCTACACAGTGATTGACAGGTCTCCAATAGACCATAAAGCAGGGTATGCTTTAGGGCGGGGCTACACAGTGATTGACAGGTCTCTAATAGACCATAAAGCAGGGTATGCTTTAGGGCGGGTCTACACAGTGATTGACAGGTCTCTAATAGACCATAAAGCAGGGTATGCTTTAGGGCGGGGCTACACAGTGATTGACAGGTCTC